AATTTTTGCCACGTTTGTATCATCTTTATTGAAGAAAGAAGCATAGGTGAGCTAGAAGGAAAAGGTAAACCTTTGCTGACATCCCAGTCATTACTGAATACAGGGTCATATGCTCCTCTAACTTTCATTAGAGACAAATGAAAGGAAAAAAAATAGCATTTTAATACAAAAATGTTTTAGGCTGTACGAGAATTATGAAAAAATCCAATATTGCCCTGTCAGCTAAAGAGGGGAAAAAGGAGCAAACTGCCTCCTTAAAAATACTCAAATAAAAAGAACAACACTGCATCATTATCTTTCTCTTTTTTTATATATGTTTAGTTCAGTCTGTTCTTTGGTTTAGGCTTCAAATATTATTAGTTTAGAAAAAAAGATATATGTTTGGCAGCATTTGTTTAATATATTGAAAGAAAAGAGTTTAAAAAAATCCCATTTGGCACTAGTGAGGTGATTATTTTGGTGAGCCTATTGCTGCCTGTACATATAATTCACTGCTGCTGTTTTGTTTGGTTTTTTCTCTGTTGCATTTAGGTTATCTAGTTTCAGATACAATCTATTAAGTGGAGTATTTTTCAGTAGCTGAGGTTTTCCCACCTGTCTACCCTAAAACACCTGCAACATATGTTTGTGTAACCCTGCAATGCTTTGTGGTTTGGGCCTTGAGAAATTCCCCCAGAGCTTTTTGCTTATAAACAGCTGAGCAATTCATTTCTCTAATGACGAGTGCTTTTCCCTTGGCATTGAGGCAATAGCATGTTCACTAAAATAAGTCTCATTTTTCATCAGACATATTGAAAATCTTTTTTCATTGTTGTCTTTTATTCTGAACCTTCAGATTTTGTGCAAGATTGTATTTGATTTTTTTTTTCTGTTAATAATACTAAAAAGGGGGGAAAGGAAATACCTCGACAAAGGAGAAAAAAGGAGTGTTGTAGGGATTCCTCCACTTGCACCCGCGTGTAAACTTTCACAAATAATGTGTATTCAGATGGTGAAACGTTACGTTGCAGCAGTAACCTGGTTTTCCTGGTGTGTTGTAGAACAGCCTGCCTGTGACTTCCGTCACAGACAAGCATGCTTTGCTGTATCGTATCAACTCCATGGGTAACGCGACGCGATATGCCTCCGGAGGCCAGTATAACCCTTTGACCCCTCCAAAGGGTTATACTAGGGAATTTGAGCATATGGAGCATGATCCTCAGCTGGTGGGAATTGCTTTTCAGCGGTTTATGCAAGTTTAGGGAATCTCTGCTGCGTTCGGTGCGATTCTGACCGCGGCCTTAGCCCCCTGCCTAGGAAAAGAGCAGGCGTGGGTGTAATTTAACTCGGCCCGTGTCCCTGGAGGAGAATAAACCCAAATAGAAAGTCCCCAAGAACCTCCTGCCAGCCGTGGGAATTGGAGTGAGTCAGTCTGGTGGTGACTGGGAACAGAAGTGGGAGGACGGGGTTAGAGCTTCAGCAGGCAAACGAGGGGGGGGCATCTTTTAGGCAAGGAAGGGCTCAGAGGCAGGAGTACCTCAGAGATACCTGAAACATTTTAAAGCATCTCTTCCCTTTGGGCTGTGGCTAATACATTTTGAAGAGACAAAGTAAAAAATCACATAAATTTCTGTATGTGCTTCTATATCTGAATTTCATACATAGTTCTTTTAAAAGTATAAATTGGGCATTTTCTACCAGTTGAAACTAAAGCTCACTCTAGCTAGAAATTAAGATTAGAAGAATTATAGAACCAGCAGACTGCTCCTACAAAATGGGCGTGGGGAAGAGGGATTTCTAGTATTGGCACAGGCAGCTTTTCTCTCTGATTTCTGTACCCTCTTTCCTTAGAAGGGGAAAACCATAAATGTGTTAATCTGTATAATGCCCTTACACAATTTCTTAGGGAGATTCAACAAGCCACTAATTTGAAGGGTTGTTTTCTCTGTCATTTTAACAGCATTATTATCCTTTCAAGAAAAAAGATTTTATCTGAGGTACTAGTCAAAATACTTACATTAATTGAAAAAGGAAGATCTTTACTCGCTTAAGGAATTAAAAATGTAAATAGGATCATTCTAAATTGCACTGTGTAGGGAAAAATGTGGTTGCTGTGAATATTTTAGACAACGGAGTTATGTTTTGCTGTAAATAAATTTGTTTAGTCTTCTGTCCTAATAAATGGAATGTAATGTAGGGGATAGCTGAAATTGGATGCTTAGAGGGGAGAGTTAGTTTAAAATTGATAAGGAAGAGACACTGTAACTGTGTAGGTTTTCTTTTCTGCTTCTGTGTAGGTTTTCTTTGCTGCTTCTTATGTTTAAAAAATAAAATTTAGAAGACATTTTCACAATGACAAAAAGATCATAATCTTCATAAAACCGTATTTTTTGCTGTGTGAAGTGCAGTTTTCAGAAGTATTTAAAATTTCCGTGGTAATACTTCGCAGATACTTGTCTGCTAACATATATGTCAGGGTGGTATTTTTAAATAATGGAATTTTCCAAAAGGATATCTCTGTAGTTTTACAAAAGGAGTTGCAGCAGTAACCCTTGGTATTTACTGTCTTGCATTTCTAATGTTTTTTCAACAGCATTTTTTCTGAGGGCTTTTTTTTCACTGCATGTAATAGTGCTTTAAACTGCTTCTTCCTTTGATACCTTAAACCTCATAGGAATTTAAATAGGCCCCTGTGAAAGTAATGCTTGAGCCTCATTCATATGTTCGAGTTAGATCATTATTCCTATTAATGGCTTTAAGTGCTTAGATAGAAGATCAGCCTTTCATGTCTTGAATTGCTTGTCATTTCTGCATAAATATGTTTCAAGATACCGTTCCACATGATCTTTTAATCTTTTTTTTTTTTTAATTCAGAAGCTGTGTGTAATAATCTTTTTTTATTATTTATTGGGTGGTGGAAAAGAAATTTCATTGTTTTTGCTGAGTTTAAAATATATACTGAGTTACTGGAAACAAACTGCAAAACTGGCTAGCATCTGGTAACGTGAATTTTTCAGAGGGCTGCCTTATGACTTGGAAGTGCCCATTATTTTAACCACCTCTTACTCTTCCACTTTGTTGAAATGGTCATCAAGACACACAAAGAAAAAAGTTATTTAATTCATGGGAGAAAAGTTACACTGTTTGATTACTCGCATAGTAGTCGCAGAACCATCAGTTATCCTCATCACGTCAGTTTGGATTTGATTATCATAGAAATGCATTGAATTACCAAACTCGAGCAATAGTAACTAAAGCTGATTCATTGTTATTGCTGTCAGTTGATGAGGACTGACTTATAAGCCATATGAATGGGTAGAGTTATGCAAATATTGTTTTTTATAACAGGAGAAGAGAAACGTAGAGCGGCCATTACAATGTGGGTGGTAGGATAGATGAGGTTTTTTGTAATGCTTGTCTAATAGCTTTTAGTTGTTTCATTTTTTAATGAACATTACAAACCGGATATATTTTAAAAATGTTTAATATGTTTCCAAAGAAAGAAAATGAGACATTTCATACAAGATTAAGTCTGACTGCAGGAAATGATCTGGAAATTCCCAGCCTTAAATTTGACCCCAGAAATCATCCTGACCTTTGATATCTACCTCTTTAAATCTTCTTCTCTCCTTTTGTGCACATGCAATATTTTGATCTTTAAAATGCAACTCCTATATCCTCCTCCAAAAATAAGGTTTCCAAGGACGGAGGGTTATCTGCAGTTATGTGGAAAACAGGAGGATAAGGCTATGGCTACTCCAGTCTATAATGAAATCTGGAGGGCAAAAATACGACATGTGAAACTGAAACAGCTGAAGACTGACTCCGTCAAAAATATAATGTACTCTCACCTATGAACAACTATTTTGGAAAGGTCATTGCATAGTTCATTAAAACTATATTTACTACTAGCAGGACTTAAGAAGGTAGATCAGAATATAAGGCAACAGCCTATGAATGAATAAACCTTTAAAGCAAAT